TTTTAGGGTTCAAACTTTGAAGAAGATAAGGGAGAACCTCCTCTAATCCCGTTCCGCTCTATTTTCAAATAAAACACAGGGATGCTTGGATATAATTTTTTTTTTTTATTTGATTGGATTTTTTAATTTGGTTTGATTAATTTTGAAAATATGGTATGCTTAGTTGTTAGTGGGTATATTAAACCAATATTGAAAATAAAATAATTAAAGTTGATTTAATGTAAAAGTAGGAGATATATGATTTGAAGTGATAGTTAGTTAAATTTATGTGAGTGGTTGAATAGGAAATTAAAGTTGATGTGATGTGTAAGAATGATTGGTTGATATTATTTAATTATATTGATAATATTGATGATAGTGAAGTTGAATTAAAGTTGAGTTAAAAAAGTGATTAAATTAAAAATGTTTGGATTTATTTGAGTTGATTTGTATCCAAGCACCCTCGTTATTTTTGTATTCAGGAGTTCCAAAAGAAAAAAAAAACACAACAAAGGGCATTTATGTAAATTCACATGCCAACACGTCTCTCCATTTGAAGGCCTCAAACTGCTTCATATAAAATATAAAAGAGAGAGATGACAAATAAAAGTCCGATGACGACTAATGAATGATATCATTAGTTATGAGCTGAAGTATTGATAGCAGGGCAGACCTAGGCAGCGGCTCATAGGGCACATGCCTTATAGAATATTATAAGAAAAAATAAAAAATAGTACATATATAATTATAATGATAAAAAATATGTTAAGTTAATTATTAAGAAGATTATTTAATAAACTATTTCCTTTATCTGAATTTACAAAAGTATAATTGACTCTTAATTAAAGAAAAAATTGCAACTATCTTAGAATGAAATATGACATTAATCCTTTTCACAATTCACAATTGTACCCCTCTATTTATATTTAGAAATAAAAAAAAATGATGTTTTTTTTATAAGTTTCATAAATTTGATATAAAGTAACATAACTAAGATTTCTAAACTCTGTGTTATTGATTTTGAACTCTTGTTACTGATTTTGATACATGTAGAATTTCAAGCGTTCTTAAAATCATAGTTATAAGTTTTAAATTAGCTACTAAATTGTTCTTGACTTGGATTTTTTGACTAATGTGATTTCTATCTTTTATGAAGAAAATATAATCAATAAAAGTTCACGAATATTGACATTGAAAGAAATATCAAATGCAAAAGAAAAGAAAAAAAAACTATTGATATACGAGAAAGATGTATTTAATAAATTTGAATTTATATAATTATGAATGATATAATCCATGACAACAAGCAGAGAATAATTATCATGTTTTTTTGCACTTTGTAAAGATTACGTTTGTGCCCCTCAATTTTGCGAGTCTGCGTCCGGCCTAATTGATGGATCTTCGTTCATGGAGGATCTAGAGTCTATAACCCGAAGTAACCATATATAAGGTTTAATAACATATTGGGTTCCGACCATTACACTTTATCTTCCAGGCTAGAATTTCAATTCGAGTTTCTGATCTCAATTGACAAGGTTGCTCGAAAAGAGTCGAACTGAATTAGATTGAAAGCAAAAATTCTATGGCGCCATCGAATGGCTTTCTTATGGAGCCATTCATCACTTAATATATTGACACTTGTCCAAAGTATATTTATTGCAGAACACGTGTCAATACACTATTGGTGAATAAGTGTGAATAACTCCATAAGCCGAGTCATCCGATTACTTCATAACAAAACTGAGATTGAAAGTTAGTCTTGTCCGAGTGGTGGTTTTGTCGTTTCAACTTGTTACGTTATTGCTTATTGCAAATTTTTGTGTTTAGCTTGTCGCCAAGGGGTGGTTTTGTGGTTGCAACTTATTAAATTATTACAATTGTTTATGTTTAGCTTGTCAATGGTCAGAGTTGTAGTTCAATATTTCTTAGTTCGTTCATCAGTTTGCAAGAAATAAAAATCGTATTTAAATTGCTGAAATACAAATTTGAGCCTAAATTACAATTCAAGGTTAGATTTTATTTTACAAATAAGCCATTTATAAATGTGTCACGAAGACACGAACTTAGAAGTTGAAGTAAACACCCTTCGTATAATAATACAATATATACCTCATTCCTGGCTGACTGGCTCTTGTTCTTATGCTCAATATTAAAGTAATCAAAAGTGGCATCAAATTACCTAACCTTGTGGCTACAAAAAGGCCTAGATCACGGTTGTTGTCTTGTTATGGTATTATAAAATGTAATTTGTGGTGTTAGATTACAAAGGTGGACAACACAACACCCACAAACTTGTCACCTAGTTTATAATATTCCAACAAAGGAAAGGGGAAACAATTTATTTCACTTTTAGGAGTAGAGTTAGACTCGAAACTTATCAAATAGTACAATCACACCAACGATGACATAATTCACAATTTCACATACAACTTTAAAATCAACAATCTCAAAACTTATACACCATTTCATGTTGGCTATCATGTCAAAATTCTTATCATAAAAGCATTTTTCTAGCAAGTAATCACTTGTTCACGCACATAATGCTAATGGTCAAGCCGCAGAATAATAAACCTTCAAGTATTGAGCAATCATATAAGAATATTGAAATTACTGTTAATCAGTCTAACAAGTCGGATAGATTAACCAGGTTGATCTTGATTACTCTCTAAGCATATCATCATACTTTTCAAAGTGAGTTGAACAGTTCGTTTTCCTCCAATTTGGAAAAAGTTCGACATTCCACAATTGTTCAGGTAGAATGATTAATTATAAAAACTCAACCCAGAACAACTAAATTCAATCCTTTAGTTTTTAAAAATCAGGTCACTTGGTGTTGTATAAATGGAAAACTATATAAGTCTCTGATGCAGAATCTAGGAAATCTCAAGAAGTGATTAAAGCCTGGTGTAAAAATAGTACAAACTGGCAAAAAAATTTGAGGAGACATTTACTCTTTCGCTAAAATGCAGAATCTATAATCAAGTAGCTAGTCCCACAATCATGCACAGATATTTATGAGTAATTAGAAATACCCCAAAGTTTTAGCTTAAATTACAGAAATGTCCAGCAATCTTCTTGAAATAATAACATCGCACTAGAGATGGGTTTTTGTTTTACAAAGTATACTCGTTGAGATTTACTTTGTTTCTTGAGAGAAAAACATAAACTCATTGGTGTGGGTGTTTGTATTTTCTTGTAGCTCATTTTTTTCGCAATTTTGAATGATAAATGGGTTTTTTGTAAATAGGCCAAAAACGCAAAGGTAAAATCTGTAATTATCCAAGAAATTACAATGCAAAACACTCCATAAAGTGGAGTATGCAGTCTTGTCTGCAGTCATTATTCCAAAATCTCATTTACTCAACTGAACATCAAAAGTTAACTGATTTTAGTAACTTATCACCGTACTGACCTCTTAATATCAGACATGTGCTCTTAAGCCGATTGAGAATTTATTTGTTCAGCTACAAATTCCTTTAGTAGCTGAAGCGTTTGATTGTAGAGGTTAACGTCCAACCCATCCACAATTCGACCCACCCGAGCCTTCAAAATTGCCTGAAATAACCAACAACAGAAAAAGAAAAAAAAGGAAACGAGACAAACACACATATACATATTTTGTCACTATAGGCATTGTTAGCGGAAAGCCTCACTAAAACTAGAGTAGTAAAGAAGTTGGGTTCAATGGAGTGCAAATAAAATCAAATTGTACCTCTTATAAATCAGAATATCTAAAATAAAATTCAAAACATTGTACCTCGTTATTAGGTTCAATATGGAGTTCCCCGATAAACTGATAGATGGAACCCGAGCGAATGTTGATGCTTAAGTGCTTAGTGTCAACCTTTAAGCTGGCACCTTCATCGACTATTACAGCAATTGCTGTCTCCAAATCGTAATCTTGCAGCCTATAATTGAGAAAAGACAGAAAAATGAAAATAATCTTTCCGAGCATTCACGTGATCGTGCAATAAAGAATACAAAGAATTTTTCAACATTCTTAAACATAATGCAGAAACTTTGGGCAGTGATAAAAACGTCCACAAAATAATCTTAGTAACCATTGATCTAAACTTTTTACACAAGATTCAATTTTTCACAGGAGAACTACTCAAACCAAAGATATTATCTAGAAAAAACTCGAAATCCATTTCAGAAAAATAAAAAATACCAAATTTCTAGTAACCCTAAAAACATTGAATGACAGGGCAAGAAATCATATTTGTAAAATGGAAGAAAATAAACGAAAATATCAATCACACACTAATTTGCAAAGAACGAAAGAAACTTAAAATGGTATTTGCGAAATACCCACTTCCCAGTAACCCTAAATGAGGCGCCATGCTTGAAGTTTGGGGAAGAAGGGCTCAGTTCTTGTAACCTAACCAGTGAGCCAGCTTTCACTGCTGATGCCGCCATCTCAATAGCTTCAATAAACAATTAAAATCGTAGAGCCTGAAACAATCAGTTAAAAAAATTAAAGTAAATAAGAATCAAAAGCCAATCGAATTTCTGAGTGGGGAAAATGAAGATTGAGGCGTTGTTAACCTTCGAGCAGTAGGGGAGGGAAAAAGAGAATAATTTTATTTGATTCCATATTGAACTAATTTTCCTTTTAATATACTTTAAAAGTATTTTACTTTTTAATATAAATTTTATAATGGACATACTCAGTGGTGATTTTTAAAATGCTTTGTGCTACAAATTTAAATAGTGGCTTGTCTGAGCTTTTAAGGTTAAATGTCATATCCTAAATATATAAAAAATATAATATTTTCTAATATAAAAATATATTTTTGTTATAAATATACGATGGAATTCATCAGCCTAATAATTAGACGATGATTGTGTTATTTTCTACGTGGCGAAACAATACTCAATCTGGTCTAATACGATCTTTTTTGTAAGCTTTGACAACTCACAAACATTATCTTTTTTCGAGTCTGAAGAGTTAACTTTCTACACAAGGACAAGGAAGAAAATGAGTAGAAAAACCATAAAAGAGTCAAATTTAGTTAATTTTCTCCACAACTAAAAAACGAGAAGGAGTCATGCTCTAGCAAAACATCTTGATGGTGGAAATCGCTGTGGAAAATTAATGTCGTTCCGAAAATCAAAATCTTCCTGTGGAGATTGTGTCACAGGGCTCTCCCCCTCTTCTGAAAATTTGGTTCGAAGATCAATTAATTCGGGAATAAAGTGTGCCAAATGTGGTGGGTTGGAATCAAATATCTACATTTTCTTCGATTGTGAATGAATTCAAAAATTGTGAAAAATGGGGGGATGGTGGAATTTTCTGGTCAAATTACGAGGCCAAAGCTTCATCATCCTGTGTGAAATTTTGGATGGGGATCAGGGTATTGAAATTCTGGGATATGTAATGTTTCTGTGGATTATATGGAACGAGAGGGACCGTATTCAACATGGCAAGCCGGCTAGGAGTGTGGACAAAATTTGGGCGCTCGTTAATACTTGGTTGGAAGAGACAAACTCTGTGTCTCCATGCTCCTCCAATATTGAGTAAACACCCAGCCTGACCTCGATCGTTTTTTGGCGTGGCCCAGGTACGTGTTTAATTAGTTTCTCCCTTTTTTGTGATACGGCGGTGACGATACTTCAATTGGCGTTGTTGGTTGGTGGTTGGATTTGTGATTCGGATGACATGTGTTGGGTTGCTTTTGCTTCTCATCAGGCAGGATCCTTTTCTTCGGAATCAGCGGAAGCATTTGCTCTCAAATTTGGATTGCGAATTACTTTGGATGCAGGCTTTATGATTCAAACCGCAAATACCGACCATCTCTACTATTTTTGGGATCTTGAACAATCATCCTAACGACCGCTTGCACAATGTTTCTACTGATATTGTTGGTCTTTTGCTGTCGTTGAATTGTGGATTATGCTATCACAGTAGTCGTGACGCAATGTTATAACTCATAGCATAACTAAATTGGCTATTAGGTCGACGGGATTTTTCTTGTGGAAAGAGTCTCTCCCTTCTTTTCTATCTTCTTTCTTTCGTTTTGTGCAATCGGCTGATTGATTGAATGAAGATTGTT